TGCCACCCGCGGGATTTGGGGCGGCAAAGCCATGGCGGTGGCGGTTTTGGGGGGGGCGGCGGGTGGCCTAGCACTGCGAAGCTGTCACCCTGGGGACAGTGGCATGGGGGGGTCGGGGTCCCCCACCATGTCCTGGGAAGTGGGGGGTGCTTGCAGGCAGCAGTCGCGCCGCGCCAGGCCGCGCTGTGCCGTGCTGTGCCGCAGGCAGCCCCTGCCCGGCCCCGGCAGGCAGCGGTGTTGGCCGGCGGGGAAGGGGCCCCGGCGGGGGAGGAAGCTCTGCCGCCTCCGGGGCTGGGGCCAGCAGGCTCGGCCGCCCGGGTCACCGCCGGGCTGGTGGCCGCCACCGCCCTCCTCTGCTGCTGGGAAAGGCCTCGCTGGGGCAGGCCCGCAGGGACCAACAGACAGACCGACGGACGGGGGGGGGGCAGAACGGGGACACTGCAGCTCCAGGGCCGTGGGTGCCCGGGGGATTTGGCAATCCCAGGCAATGTTTGGTAATGGGCCAAGGGGCTGTGCTGGCCCTGGGGCTGAGCGACACGGAGGGGACACGCTGGGGACACCGAGGGGCCGGTGGGGGGGCCCCCGGTGCTGTGCCCTGCCCTTTGCCCGCCACGGGAGGGGGCCGCGGCAGGGTGGCCGGAAGGGACGGCACCGTCCCCGTGCCAGTGCCGTGGCCGCCAGCACCCACTCGGCCTCCGGCCCAGAGCAGAGACGGGCATTGCCACCCACGGGACCGGGCTGGGGCGATGCTTCGGGTGGCACTGGTGTCCCCCATCCCCGCGGTGACCCTCGCGTGTCCCCCGCAGCGCCTGCCCCGGCACCATGCATTCGCTGGAGGAGCCGCTGGACCTCAAGCTGAGCATCTCCAAGCTGCGAGCCGCCCGGGAGAAGCGGGGTCCCCCCGGTCCACGACCCCGCGGTCCCCAGCGCCTGGACGCCCCGCCGGCCGGGGATGGCCGAGGAGGGAGCCGGGGGGGTCGCCGTGCCGTGCCGGCCCCGCCGCCCCCCGGCCTCCTGGCCCACTCCAGGCTGGTGGAGCCGCGGGACGGGCACTTCCCCGCTGTGCCGGTGGTGGACCTCAGCCTCTCGCC